GATGCATTTCAACACCTAAACGCAGTCCGCAAGGATGCGTTTCCATTTCAAAACACAACCCTCAGGGAAGCGTTTCTCAAACTGAACGCAGTTCTCCGGAGCACGTTCCAGATTCTAAACACAACTCTTAGGAGTGCGTTCAAGACCCAAAACACAGACCTCAGGATTACATTAACCAACCAAAATGCAGACCTTAGGATTACGTTAACCAACAAAGAGGCAACCAGCAAGGGTGTGTTTCACCAACAAAACACAGAGTTCGGTCTAGCGTTAATCAAAAACAACACAACCCTCATGTTCCTTCTTCAGAACGTGACGTGATCTGTCGTGTCCAAAGATATCAACGTAGATTCAAGATCCATGTTTAACAAGAAACATTCCCATCCACTGATGGATAGGGGGTCCCATCTCCAACCTCATAATCTGTGAGAGAATCTCCCTAGGTATCTGACTTAAGGGAGTTACTTTCAAGAGAAAGACCAGTGTGACAAGCCGCTCATTCATGTCATTATGAGCGACTTATCTCTGCAATTCTCTCAGAATGCCCATGCTACACTTCTAAATCAAGACGGTCAGTATTCGACCGGTTGACGAATGTCACCCGACCTGCCAAGCGACGGCGACACTACAGGAAGAAAGCTTCAGAGTCCAAATATCTTGTAGTTACTATCAATGTGATCGATAGGAGGAAAGCTCCTAGTTTTGATGACTCAGAAACAAGCTGTTCGCCGACCGTCAGAGAAATCTGTGAAGAGTTTGAAGGGATATACTGACACAATTGGACACAGACGGGAGCCATTCCTCCTGTCAATTATAAATGACTGGCTAGAGGAGCAACTTCTGATGAGGAACACTCAACTATCGTGGAGTCTCAGTCCTCGAGTGCTTTCGTAGCACATGAGAATTCTATTTACATGACAGGGAGCTCAGATGACCTAGCGAGAAGGGTCGATGAACATCAGGCCATGCTCCAGGCTCAGCAAGAGACTCTCCATCAACTGCGACATATGATGACTCAACTCGTCGTAGAAAAGGTCCAAAAAGCTAAATCCTCCCGAAAGACGAAACCGTCAAAAGGGAAAGATAAAGTGAATGAGAATTCGAACCACGAAGCTCACAGCATAAAGTCCACCTCTGAAGAAGAGAAGGAGGGTAAAAATGAGCACAATCGTCAGTCGACCAAGATGGAGGAATTGGAAGCTCGTCTCAACACAATTGCCAATAAGAGAAAGCTCCAAAATGACGGACTAGTGTGGCCTTATCCCGCAGAATAGGACACAACTCCCTATCCTCCAAAATTCAAGGCCCTGACTCTACAGGTTTTTGATGGCACAAGATCGCTGAATCAACACATCTATTACTTCAAGTCGTAGACTGGAGATGTGATAGAGAACAATGCTATATTGACTCGCCTGTTCATCAGAACCCTTAAGGGGGTTACCTTCGAATGGTTCATGAAGTTGTATGTTGGGTCTATTCAGAAATGGGTAGATCTAGAAAAGCTTTTCTTAGCCAGGTTCTTTGAGGATGATTCGGAAGTCTCTGTCCCAACCCTTCTCGCTACTAAGTAGAGGAAGGAAAAATCCATATAGACCTTTGTGGAGAGGTTCCAAAGTATGGCCCTACGATGCCCATCAGATATGACACAATCTACTTTGGTGGAAACTTGCAGACACAATTTGTAGACTCATCTCCTAGCTCAAATGGGAGTAGCAAAATGTCGTCCTAGAAGCAGTTGGTCTCACAATGAGAGCATGAAGAAGAGATCATTGCCCGAGTCAGAGCTGAAGAAGATAACAAGTCAAAGCCACAAGCGCAACACAACCAAGGCAATGCTCCTAGATCCAAGGGAAAGGAGACTCTAGCTGCAGATACCAACACTTGAGCGCTACTTACAAAGCAGGGCAAGGCATCAAATCAACAGAGGGTGCCCAAGTAGTACTCTTTCAAGGAGGAACATGTGGACACCCTATTCCAGATACTTTGAAAGAACAACAAACTGAAACTTCTTAAAGTGAAGAAACCTGATGAAGCAGGAAAAGTAGATGATCCTAACTACTATCGCTATCATAGAATGCTAGGACATCCAACGAGGAGATGTTATATCTTCAAGGATATTCTGCAACACCTGGTTGATGCTAATGTATTCAAGCTAAAACCAGAAAAGAAGACCGTGTCCACCAATATGATATCGATCCAGTTTGGATATTTTCCTCTTATAGCAGTAGTGGATGGTGTTATCCCTATCCCTAAGAGAGAAATACACATGAAGAATGCTGGCCCGTATGGTCAGAAGGATAAAGGTTTGGTACCCCTCACTACTCCAAAAGGAAAAATTATGTGGGTCCATCCTGACTTAATTAAAGACCAACAGTGGACAAGTGTATCAACGAAGAAGAAGAGAGGCAAGACAAAGTCATCCAATATGATTAGCCCCTCTATAAATGAGGATGACGATTATCTTAAACCTCTTATGGACTCAGAAGAAGAGAGAATTGTCCTTGCAGTAGATCAAAGAGATAACCCTGGCACCCGATCAGGGAAAACATATTTAAAAAAATATAGCCAAGATGCTCAAGGAGCAGAAGAACAAGCCCAGGAGGCTGGGGGTTCTGCTCTTAAGAAGACAACTGATAAGGGGAAACAGAAAGAGCTTCACTTCAGCCAGAACCTTCTTCAATAATAGACTGGAGGATCGAACACTCCCTTTCGATTCAACGTCTTGACGTAATTGGCTAACATCCCTGTGAGGATCACCTTGTACGAGCTCCTGTGGTTGTCTAAGACCACAAGAGAAACTCTAATTAAAGCTTTAACAGACACGGGGAGCTTTATTACTCAAGTTGCTCCAGTTCTAGAAGCTTCTAAGGGACAATCTTGTGTACAATGTGTACAAGCCGCAAGAAGTCTGCCATGCATATCATTCACTCAGGAAGACATGCAGATTAAACATAAGCATGATAGACCTCTGTATTATACGGGGTATATCAGCTCTTCTGAGATCAGCCATGTACAAGTTGATCCGAGCTCGGCACTTAGTATCATGCCATATCAGGTCATGCAAGTTCTAGGGATTCCTCTGCACCGGTTGAACTCCACTCAGACGACCATCTTCAGCTTCAATGCCAACAGCACACGACCCTTGGGTAAAATCAAACTCAGGTGCCAAATCAGAGATCTCAAGTCCGAAGTGACTTGTTGTTAGGACGACCTTGGATTCATGCAAATCGCATTGTCCCATCTACTATTCATCATGTCATGAAATATGCTGACGAGGAGGAAGAAGTTAGAACACTGATTGCTGAGAAGCAACCCTTCAGAGGAGTGAAAAACTTTCACACCGGCTCGGTCTTCTATTTAGATTCACAAGAGCTTAAGCAATCAAATAAGGTCGTTGACAGTGGTAATGAAGCTGACATCGAGCCCGATCCTAATGAAGATTGTCCAAGGGAGTTGAATTTCGATGTAATGGGTCAGAATGAAGATAATAACAATGTATCGAGTGAGGGTGAGTAGTACATTAATGAATATTTCAATTTTGCATACTTGTCTGATGTGTCCTCTGAATATGAACAAATAGAGATTGATACAGATATGGGTACTAATTCATGGCGCACATTATACACCGAAGAATCACTCACTTTGTCTCTAAAATCATCTTTCACCACATTCGAATAGATGGAGGATGTACAGAAGGCTTTCTTTATAGTCCCGTCCAAAAGGAAAGGACATAAGCCGATCTATATTGGTAAGGTCAAACCTGAATTACTCAAGCGAGAGAGTTTAGAGGAAGACCGGGGAGTCACCCAATTCCATTATTATGAACCTAACTCCATCAAATTGATGAAAATGATGGGTTATGACTTTGGTAAACATGAAGGTTTAAATTTTGGGAAAGGAAGACGAGCGTCGATTCGGCTTTCTACTCCAGAAGGAAAACCTCCTGATTATTACCATAAAACTAAAAGAGGGTTAGGTTATGTCTCAACTCCTCCTCTTTTAGAAGATGAGATCGGCAACTGCCTGTGTCAAGATCATTCATATGGAACATCCTCATGGGAATCCGATATAAGTGTCGGAGTAATATTTAAAAGCATGTCCGTGAACATGACTTTAGTTAGTCATCTGATCGAAGATGTAAAGTATGGCCAAGAATTAATTGAATCAACTAATGATCATTAGATCAAATACCTTAACATCTTGTGGGATATGTGTTTCGAACAGCACGAACCGCCTACCGAAGATAAGGTGATCCAGGTCAACATGGGGGATGAGTTCGATCCTAAGCCAATCTTCATAAGCGAGAGCTTATCACCACCCGAGAAAGAAGACCTCATATCTCTCATCAGAGAATATATAGATGTCTTCGCTTGGAATTATGAAGACATGTCTGGTCTTGATCCTAAAGTTGTCATGCAACATATTAACATTGATCCGGATGTGAAACCCGTCAAACAACAACAACGCTAGTTCCGTCTAGAGATCATGGAAGCAATTGAGTCGGAAGTCAAAAAGCTTATTGACTCAGGTTTTATCAGAGAGGAACAACATCCCAACTGGGTCACTAATATTGTCCCCATGCCCAAGAAAAATGGTAAAGTCTGATTTGCATCGACTTTTGTGACCTAAACGCTGCATGTCTGAAAGACGAATTTTCACTCCCCATCACAAATGTCATGATCGACAATACTTATGGGTATGAGAGGATGTCTTTTATGGATGAGTATTCAGGTTATAACCAGATTAAAATATATCCTAAAGATGAAAAGTATACTGCTTTCAGAACACCCCTGGGGGTGTATTGTTATACGGTAATGCCCTTCGGATTAAAGAATGTTGGTGCAACCTATCAGCGTGTCATGAATACAATCTTTCACGAACATTTACGCAAGAAGATAGAATATTATGTGGATGATATTACAATAAAAAGACAAAATAGAGGCGATCATCTTGCAGATCTGAAGACGATGTTCGACATCATGCGAGCACATCAACTGAAGATGAATCCAACCAAATCGTTCCTGGGAGTCTCTAGTGGTAAATTCCTGGGATTCATAGTCACATCCAAGAGAATTTCTCTCGACCTAGAAAAGGTTCGTGCTATCCAAGAAATGCCACCTCCAAGAAATATCAAAGAGCTCAGAGGCTTGCAAGGCAGATTAGCGTACATCCGGAGATTCATATTAAACCTCTCAGGACGCTGTCAGCCCTTCACCAAGCTGATGAAGAAAGGAGTTTTGTTCATTTGGGATGGAGATTGCCAAAAGGTATTTGAGGAGATTAAAAGATACATCACTCAACTACCTGTTCCTGTAGCCCCAATATCAGGGAAACATTTCCTATTGTATGTGAGGGCCATGGATCATTCTCTGAGAGTATTATTAGTTTAGAATAATGGCCAAGGACATAAGCAAGCAATCTACTACCTTAGCAGAACCATGATTGGAGCCGAACATCGGTATAATCTGGTGAAAAAGGAGTGCCTTACTTTAGTGTTTGCTCTCCAAAAAATGAGACAGTATTTAGTTGGACAAATAATTCACGTCATCTCTAAGGTAAATACTTTGAGAATGATAATGACGAAATTATATTCTCTGAATTGTCATCTAGCAAAATGGGCAATCCTCCTATCACAATATAACATGCAATTTATACCCCAGAAGGCTGTTAAAGGTCAGGCTCTAGCAGATTTTCTAGCCGACCATCTGGTATCTGAATCGTCCAAATTTTATGAAGATTTACCAGATGAAGTTGCCGAAGCTTGTGCAACTCAAGAAGTTATACAAGTATGGAAATTGTTCTTTGATAGTGCATCTAGAGCAAACCCTAATAGAGGAATCATTGCTGGTGTGGGGGTGATACTTGTATCCCCAGGTGGTCATGTAATCCCAAGAGGATTCTCTCTAATCGAGCCATGCACTAACAATGTAGCAGAGTATAATGTTTTGCTACTAGGGATGCAGTTAGCCGAAGAGCTTAACATTCGACACCTCGAGGCTTACGGTGATTCTCAACTTATTGTGAATCAAGTCCGAGGAGAATATGAAGTACGTAATGAGGATTTAGTCCCATATTACTTCGTTGTGCTAGAGTTAGCTCAGAAGTTTGAAGGCTTCTTCATTGAATACATCCCACGAGCCCAGAATACATATGTGGATGCTTTAGCCTCGTTGGTAACTTCTCTAGCATTGCCACCAAAAGAAGAGATGATGATATTCGTCATGGGCCGTGACTTGTACCACCCCAAGCTTCCCTTAGAACATTGCTCAAATGAGACTACAGCGGAGATCGCGTGTGCAACTTCAATTGAACTGGAACCAAGAGATTGGCGATTCCCATATATTGACTATGTCTTGTACGGGATACTACCCGATGATGCTAAAGAAGTGGCCGCTATTAAACGGAAGGCTCTTCGATTCTATTACGATGCGATCTCTCAAACCTTGTACCATAAATCACATGATGGAGTCTTACTTCGTTGCCTCTCTAGAAGAGAAGCACAAGAGGCTCTTAAAGAAGCTCATGATGGAATGTGTGGGGCTCATCAACCTAAAGCTAAGTTAGGAGACCGTCTCCGATGAATTGGCTACTATTAGCCAAAGATGTTTTCAGATACCGTCGACTACGCTAAACGTTACCACGTATGCCAAATCCACAGTGACTTCATTCATTAGGCACCAGAAAACCTGCACCCAACATCGGCATCTTGGCCATTTGAGATATGGGGAATAGATATTATTGGACCCATCACTCTGCCAACGGACAAAGGATATCGGTTCATCTTGGCAGTGATCGATTACTTTTCCAAGTGGGCGGAGGCAATTTCATTAAAAGAAGTTAAAGCTTCAAATATGATCAAGTTCATCAAACATTACATTATCTATCGTTTTGGTGTACTAAGACAAATAGTCTATGACAATGGAACTCAGTTCGTCAGTCATGGTTTTTAAAAGATTATGCGATAAGTTCAGGATCCAAAGTGTCGCATCGATGACATACTATCCGCCACCCAATGGCATTGCAGAAGCATTCAACAAGACTATTGTGAAGCTTCTCAAGAAGTTTGTCACCAAGAACCGTCGTGATTGAGATGAAAAACTTGGCGAATATTTGTGGGCCTACCGCACAATAGTGAAGACCCCTAGAAAAGCCACTCCATTCTCTTTGGTATATGGCTGTGAAGCCGTATTACCATTGTAAATCCATATCCCGACTCTAAGAGTCGCCCTTACGACCGAGATGACGGATGAAGAGAAGCATCGATTGCGTCTTCAAGAACTTGAAGTATTGGACGATATGCAACTTCAGGCTCAACAACGGATTGAGTTGTATCAAGCTTGAATTTTCAAAGCCTACAACAAGAAGGTCAAAGGGCGTATCTTCAAGAAAGGCGATTTGGTCCTAGCTGTCAGATGACCTATGGTGATGACGCATAAGACCAAAGGGAAATTCAATCCTAAGTGGGAATGACCCTTTGTAATAGAATCAGTTTATTCAAATGAGGCATATCGTCTTATCAACCAGAAAGGTGACAGGCTCATGATGCCTATTAACGGGAAATTTCTCAAGAAATATTACCCGTAAGCCATGAAGCCCCCTTTCTCCTAATCCTCAGCTAAGTCTGAAATAATGAATCAACTTTCTCTAGGCTGGGGGTTGGTTATTCGCGTTTTATTGAATAGAGAGTAATATATCATGTCAACTTCCCCGACAAGTCTAAGATGAGAAATCAGTTGTAGTTAGACTGGGGGTTGGTTATTTGGAATTCATTTCAATGGAGAGTAATAAATTGTTGTAAACCTTCCCCAGCTTGTATATCGTTAAGTTAATATTACACCTCTAATGATTGAAATTTTCTAAAATTATTCTAAGTGATAATGAAGAGAATTTCTAATTCAACATGATGACTGTGGCATCTCAAAGGTCCAAACACAGCAAAGAAGAAGTAATGAAAAGCAGTAAATATCAGCAGTTCATCACAGGTAGATAATAAGTGTTTTGTGAAATAACATAAAGTTATTACAAAATCAAAAGTAAGTGCTGCTTGAGTCTAAAATATCAAGTGTTTTATAAGTGGAAAGTTGAAAGGTGAGCTTTAGTGCTGGATATGCGTGTCACATGCTCCGCCAGCACTTCTTCTTCAACTTTCTTCCGGAGTTGATCATCAGTGAGTGCAGCAGCAGCAGTGGCTTCCTGTTGCAACACTTGAAGAGCCTACTTCTCTGCTTGTACAGCAGCATAAAGAGTGGCATCCCCAAGGTCAAACTCTTCTGGGGTTAACTCCCCTGCAACAAGCCTGGTCCTTGCATGTCGGTCTTGCTTCTGCAGGCTCCAGATTAAGGCCTTATTCTCCAATATGCTCTAACATCGAGCTTTGTCGTCAATCATCTTCTTCGTCTGAGCGACACTTATGGCCTACCGTATCTTAGGCCTCAAGTCAGTGTGCCTTAGTTGTTCCAAAAAATGAACAACGCTTGTGTAGCAGTAGATTTTCTCCGCACAATGCAGGCATGACAATGATTGACGCGAGCGAGAGAATGTAAGCCGTCCACAATTAGAGCATGGAACTCAGAGAAAGAACCGCGGCCATGATCCACAATGGAGAAAGCTTGTTTCACCATGTTTTCCAAGCGTTTGAGCAGGAAGAGAGTACATTTGGGGTTCAAATAATAAGACTCGAGAATCACCTTCTCATGATCTTCGGCTGGAAAGATCATAGTGATGGGTTGGATCCGAGGAACATACCCTGAGTCATATATGATGACATGCTCAGTGGTAGTGACCTCATCTCGCGCTACAAAACAAGCAAAGTTGAAGTTAATAAAACTTCCTAAAAGTCTAAAAGACTAATTCAAACGCAGAGGTCTAGACCCACGTTAAACTAATTCCAACACAGAGGTCAAGACCTGCGTTGAATTAACTCAAACGCAGAGGTCTAAACTTACATTCCATTTTTTAAATGTAGAGATTTAAACCTGCGTTATATTTTCCAAACGCAGTAAATTAAACTCGCGTTTCAGTTTTTAACCCTTCGTCTCACAAATCAACACGGAAACCCACCTCCATGTTATGAGTTGAGAAGATGAATAGTCTTCATCGTCATCAAGCCAGAACCTACTTAGGGTTTTGAAAAAACTCGTCAAAATAAGTAGACAGTAACATTGCTTACCTTGGTGACCAGACATTGACGGCGATGCAGATGTTGAACCAGACGGCGACACACCGTGAGTCACCCCCTCATTCTCCCCCAGATGAGAACTTCTCGAGGCCATTATCGCTGACGATTGAGGACGTTCAAAAAAGCATCGAGGAAATTTTGGAATTAACAAGGAGAAACTCGTTCAAGGATTTAAGGCAAAATTATAAGCGTTAAAGACCTTTGATAAGATCGATCAGGTCTATTTATATACAAACACTGCAGGTGGCACGGAGTTCTGATACTACCACCCAAACACGGTCTCCTCGTTATCATGATAGTCATTTAGACTTCTGATAAGACGCAGGATTAGACCCAGCATTTAAAAAACAAAAAAAAGAGACTAAAACGCAATGATTTTAAAGTCGTGTTCAAACTCCGAATGTTGGGCCCAGACCCGCGTTGCCAGGATTCAACGTAGAGCTTAGCGTTGCGTTTGAAACCCTAGAAGCAGAGACTACATTTGCATTCTAGTTTTCCTGAATGTAAGGTTAACCTTTGCGTTTTCTAACATGACATTTATTTTCTAAGGTCTGTATCATGAAACCTGTTAATAAAGAGCTGTTAAAACCTCTTTACATCCTCAGCAGAATTTAAGCTAATTTAGCTGGCAAAATTCTCTATAGTCATCAAGTTAACATTACACCTATGACGACCATCATCCTCACAGAGTTTGGATTCAGCTTGCATCACCCCTCGATGTGACAACAATTCTTCAGTCAAAATCAGTTTATCGACTCTCATCAACAGAGCGATAAAACCCCAAAATGGCTCAAATTGTAATTAATTTATCAACTCCCTTCAACAGAGTGATAAATTTGTCAAATCTTGTTCAAGTCACAAGTACCAAAATTCATCACTTTTAATGATAAGCTCATTTAGCAATTCTCCCCAGTGAGACGCCAATTCCTAAAATCTCGCTCAAGTCACAAGTACACAAATTCTTATCACGTTAATATCATACCTTTGACAATCTACTTATCGACTCTCTCCAATAGAGCGATAAGTCCTTAAACTTGCCCCGATCGTAATAAATTCCTATCATGTTAATATCACACCTCTGATAATCCCCTTATCGACTCTCTTCAATAGAGCGATTGGTTCGTAAAGTTGCACCAATGACAACAAATTCTTGTCACGTTAATATCACACCTCTGACAATCAAAATCACTTATCAATCCTCTTCAATAGGATAATAAGTCCACAAATCACTGTTATGTTAACAATATACCTCTAACAACTAAAACCCCCTTTCAACTTGTTATTCTTTTATATGAATAACAAGTGTTCATAAAACTCCCAGTGGATTAAACTTTTCTAGAGTTATCCCAAGTGGTGATAAATAAAAAAAATTCATGCCACGTTAATATTACACCTCTGGCGCTTATAAGTTTCTTTCAGTGTTTCACGTAAAAATGCAACACAGGAAGAAACAAGTGTGTTAATTCTTTTCGAGAGAATGATAATCATTCAACACAACTTCAAGGGTTTGATGATTCTTAAACATAATATTAAGCCTGGGAGCCAATGATATCTCTAACAGATTGAATTTTTTTAGAATTTTCTTAAACTATAATAAGAAAAAGTGTTAAATCTCGCTTTATGTGGGAAATTATGCTAAGTTAAAATCACACCTCTGGCATTTTCAATTATATTTTTCATTGTTTCAAGTCAGAATATGACACATAAATGAAACAGTGAAAAGCTAAAATAGTATCACTTTTATTCAAAATCAAAAGGAAGTGATACAAGATAGTATTGTTCTTGTCAGAAGAATGATAAAATAAAATTAAAATTCAAAGCTCCATCGAGTGAATAGATGCGAGCTGGGACTTGATATCGGAAAGCTTCTCCTCGTGGGCAGTCTGCACCGTCTCTTCAACTCTTCTCCAGAGCTCATCTTCCTTGGGCACCGTAGCAGCAACTTCTTTCTTAGCCTCTTCAAGAGCCCGAACTTCTTTATGATAAGTCATAAGAGTTTCTGTAGCTTAGACGCTGAGTGTGGTCATGGTAGCTTCATCTCGATCAAATTCAGCCTTCTGCCGGACCAATTCTGCTTGTAAGCGAACAATGGCCTCTTCAGTTTGCCTAATCTTTGAGCGAGCAGCCTCTAAAGTAGTTGTTGAAATAGTCAACTCCTCTTACTTTTGAACACTTTTCTTTTGTAAATCTACGACTTGGAGTTCTTTTTCAGCTAAGCTACGCTGAATTATTTCAGTCCGGTTTGCCTCTTTAGTCCGGATATTAGCGAAAATCGATGTAATTTGAGCCTTGATATCCACGCGCTCCAGATCCTCTAAAGCCTTTAATTTCTCCTCTAGGCGATCGACAGCCTCTGAGAAACGTTCAATATGTTAGACCCTAGAGGGGGGGTGATTAGGGTCT